TCCCCCTCAGAGCTCATGGATCCCCGTGTTACTGAAGGCAGAGTCCATCTGCACATTATTCCTTGTCTGCAGAGATGGTTCTGTTTCTCTGTCCTCTCTGGGGTGTTTCCTGCAGCCCTGGACACACATGGGCAGAGATGGGAACACACATGCTCCCCAAACATTTAATCACATCTGTTTTCCTAATTACCCTTCCACTTATCTATTGTGCATGTCAGGTTTCTAGTTGTAAATAGGACGCATTTGCTGGGTGGTTTGCCTCAAAGCATATTTTTTTTCTCTTGTYTTTCTGAAAGCATTTCCTTTTTTCTCTTTTTTAAGATAGAATTGAACTGAATTTGCACCTCTTCTGTCTCTCTATCTACACAAAATTTTCAAGTTCTTTTGCTTATTTTCTATTTGTTTATTTCTATAACTATTTATTTATATATCCAATTCTATTCTCATTAAAACCTCCTTGGTTTYTGCTTTTCACTTTTCCCTCTGCTGGGATCCATCTTTGGGGAAGAAAACCAAAGGCCATCCCAGAAGACCATCCCAGCAGGATTACTTTCAGAGGACAGCTGCTCAGATGGATTGGGGCACAGGAGGGAGCAACAGCAGAGTTCTGCCTTTTTGATAACCACTCTGAACAACTCCAGATGACAAACGATGGGAGCACCCAAGCTGAACAAAGGTCAGTCTGTCTGTTTTGCTGATTTTTCCACTTTCTTTTTCTCTCTATAATTACAAAATTATAATCATTTTCTGTAATGCAAAATCAAGCAGCTTTTTTTTTTTCTGCCTTCTCTTCCACTTCAGCTGAAGCACGTTGATTCTAGTATCAAACTAATTGCTTTTGATCTTGCCAAAGTTCAAGCTACAGTATCTGATATTTTTCTTCATCAAAGCAGTCTCTATTTCCACTTRATGAACACTGATGAGTTAGACACTGGAAAGCGCCTTTGGTCAAACAGCTTGCCTTGCTCTGAATTCTCAGTAGATCTAAGCAATTATAAATCTGACAGTACAATCTTCCTTACCTTCAAATTGAGCTATAATGTCTTCTAAAACATTTCTAAAATTTTTACCAAAAGCTTTTTTCCTGGAAGTTTTTTCATGTAGCATAGGGCTGCAGGGTCCCTTTTCAAAGCACACACACAGCTGGGCACAATTCTTCCAGGTCCTCCCTAGGCCACCTGCCTGTGCAGGAGCAGATGATGAGGGACAGYGTGGCAGTGTGGGAGGGAACCTGTATGCTCAATACCTTTTCTGGGACAGGATGGGACTACAGGATCTCACCTCACTCCCTGTGAAGCGCAGACTTCCCCCTCACTTGACATCAGCAGGACTGACGGTGTCTTACAACAAACACTATGAAATCTGGAACACCTGGGTTTAACAAAATTGTCTGGCAAATCTATACCAGCCTTGAACTCACTTTTAGGAGCAGATACTAGGGTTACCCTTTCCCCCCATTTTTTCCCAGTGACAGGCTTGGGGCATCCACCACCTGCCTAGGGAGCCTGTTCCAGTTTGCTCAAGTTAACTCAGGCTCAGGTTCTCAARTGGGTTTCTTTTCTTCTTCCTCTTCTGTTTTTCTTGAAGAGCRGCTACTTCACAACCCTCAAAAATGCAATTGTTCTTTTTGCCTGTGGCTTCTGATGCTATTTTGTTGGAACCTACTTGTTTCTATTCAAATCTGTGCTGAAGAGAACAGATGCAACTCAGCTGAAATCGTAATGACTGCATAATCCTGTATGTCACTGCAGAGTGAGAAAAAATTAATAGCATCTAGTAAACTACAAAACAAAATCAAATGTGTGGTGTCAGTTATCTTTGTTATTTTCTGCAGCCTGAAAAATGCTTTTGTTCTTGTGAAGTTTGACAACAGGTCACTGAACATAGCCAATGGGTTTTCAACAGTTTGTATTTCAATATTAAATGTCTTTATATCTGCAACTATAGACACATTGCTGGAACAAACACACATCTCAACCTGTGGTCTCATCTCTGCTTTTGATTAAATTTCTCCATTTCCAAMAACAAATTTACAACTTCATCAGTAAGGGAAGATTGTTGAATAGTTACTCTGTCTTGATTTACAGTTCATTCATTTTTATCTACCATTCAACATACAAATACATTCTGTTATAGGCTTGGGACTTCAAAGAGCTTTCAGAAGGAAAAAAATGCTTCCTGATCCCTTTTAAACAGCTACCTCTTTCTTCAAGGTCAATTGTCAATTACAGTGAAAAGTAACATACAAGAATTTTTTTGTCTAGATGAATGAAATATTCCAAGTAGTCAATATATTCATCAAACCTCTTTATTCACAAAATCTGCAGGCTTATATTCTTTCTTAGTCAGTAAGTTCTTTGACCTTTTTAAGAAGCTAATCACCACCMTAAAGTCATTGCCACTTACCATACTGCACATCCACTTTTAAAAATTTGAAACATGTCCCCATTTGAAAGACAGGTATTTGCTAATGAAGGCAGGGACTCCCCCTTGGAGTGGTGGCTATGACCCCCCTTCCCTCCGAATTATTATAACTTTGAAAAAAAAATCACGGGCTTTCAGGCAGGAATATGGGTAAAAGGGAATAACAGTTTTTACTTATATATATATAAAACAAGGTAACAAGTAACAATAACAACAGCAACAACACAGCCCAGTCCCAAACCCAGTGACAGCCTTACTTCACCCCTTGGTGAAGTTACAGACTCGTCGGCAGGAACGCTGCTGGTTCTTGGCTGAGCAGGGAGGGCGTGACGACTCTTCGGAGGCTGCAGGGGACGTGGCGGCGCGGGTCCCGGCTGGCTCAGATCTCCCGCAGCTGCGATGATCGATACAAAAATGGCAGAAGCGGATGGAGAAAAAAGTTTCTCTGCAAAACTCACAGCGGAAAACGCCGGTGCTCTTCTGGACAGCAAGAAACCCAGAACCACACAGAGCCGAGCAGGAAT